GTTAACAGAGAGGAGCAGAAGTGAATTTCCAAACAGGAGCCAAGGGGAGAGGATGATGTCCCTCTTCCCCAGGTATGTGTCCTGTAAGAGAAAGGGTGGAGAGAGGAGGGGCCATCAAATGGCTGAGGGCCGAGTTGTAGGTAAGGATGCTAGGGGCTCCTTGGGGTCTCCTTATGGTGGTACCATGGTGGGGCAGACGGTACAGGTCTCTATGGGTCTCTGTCTATCTGAGGCTGATCTCAGGAAATCCAGCCTGCTGTGATCAGCAGAGAGGATGTGGGGAACTGAGGAGTGATTTCCAGGAAGCCTCCAACCAAAAAAGAAGCAGCCACCTGATAGTGATCTTTTTAAAAGATTTATTTATTGCATTATTTGAACGTGTATGAGCGCTTCCCCTGCAGTATGTATGTGCATTGTATGCATGCCCTGAGCCAGAAGAGGGTGTTAGATGCCCCAGGACCAGAGTTACAGACATTATGAGCAACTGTGTGGGTAGTATGAATTAAACCTGGGTCCGTGGAGGAGCAGCCAGTGCTCTTAACTGCTGGGCCATCATGCCAGCCCTTTAATATTGGTCTTGCTCAATCATTGCTATTGTTTCTTTTGGAAAGAGTGAGGTGCTGTTTTCTCTAGCATAACTTCTGAATCTCAGCTTAGACCCTCATTTTCCTCAGATCGAGAAGTTAATTTGAACACCCCCACACCCACAATTCTGAAGCAGATGCCTTGGCCAGCACTGGGCTTCCTCAGAGCAGATCTGAGGTTGTGTGAGATGGTAAGTGACCCCAGAAGTCACAGCAGAGGATTCAGGAGGGAGGCAGGGAAGAGAGTGCCAGTAAGCAGGGGGCCCTGGGGCTTGACCATTCTGGGACACCTGGGAGAATGAGAACACCTCAGATTGCTCACAGAGGGTGAGGAGAGCAGGCACTCACCCACTCACTATCTGTGCACTTCACCAGATGAGGTCTGCAGCAGAGAAACCAACTGAGTTAGCTTGCTTTCTGTCGCTGTGATAAAAAAAAACCCAACTCGGGAGGACAGGGTCATGTCAGTTCATAGGTCCATCATGTCCACCATGAAGGGAAGTCAGAGCAGGAACTCAGGGCAGGAACCTGGAGGCAGAAACTGAGACCATGGAAGGACACTTCTTACTGGCTTGTTCACAGATTCTTCTTACATTTAGTTATGTGGTGATATCTTGTTTGTACTCTAACAAATAAAGCTTGCCTGGAGGTCTGTACATACAGACAGGAAGTGACCTGACTGGGAGGAGAGAGGAATGTAAGGTGGGAGGAGACGGGAGCTTGGCCTCTTTTCAGTCTGATGATTTCACAGAGGTGAGAGTTTTAGTGGCTGGCTGCTCTGCTTCTCTGATCTTTCAGCTTTCACCCCTAATATCTGACTCCCAGATTTTATTATTAAGACCAACTAGATTCTTGCTACATAGTTATCTTTCTTATACACGCCAGGACCACCTTCTTGGGAAGGCAGCACCCACAGTGGGCTAGGCCTTCCAACATCAATTAGAAATCAAGAAAACCCCACAGATAGATATGCCCTTAGGTCAACCTGAGGAAGGCAGTTCCTCAGGTGAAGTTCATTCTCCCCAAGTGTGTCAAGACTGCAACCAAGATTAGCCATGACACCAACCCTTGTACTGAACAAGAGCGAACATCTTATGTGCAGAAGGACATTCGTGTAGGAAGATGTGGTCGGATGGAAGGATGTCCACTGTCCACTAAAGCGGAACCAGCCTTTGAGGGCTGGTGGGCATGGCAGAGTTCTGATAGTGCCTGTACAGACTGCTGCCTCTGTCTCCTTTCTGGCCACTGTGGTTGTAACTCCTGCAGGGATACACCCCCGCTTGACCTTAATGGATCAGTGGATAGTGCTTTTCCATACAATGGGTTGCACCCTCTTCCAGTTCCTGCCCGTTCCTCTCCATCTCCCTAGCTACCCAAATGTTTGCTTGCATTTCTGGCTTTTACAACCTTTTTGCCTCCTCTTCCACACAAGATTCCTCAGTCTTGAGGGGAGGGATTTGATCAATACATCCCATTTAGCACTGAGTGCTCCAGTCAGGTAGTGGTGGCACAAACTTTTATCCCAGGACTCAGGAGGCAGAGGTGGGTGATCTCTATGAGTTCGAGGCCAGCTTGGCCTACAGAGAGTTCCAGGGCATCCAGGGCTACATAGAGAAATCCTGTCTGGAAAAACCAAAACCAAAACCAACAAAAGAACGGAGTGTTCCAAGGTCCCCCGCCACTGCACATTGTCTAATTTTGGGTCTCTGTGTTAATTCCCATCTATCGCAAGAAGCAGCTTTTCTGATGAGGGTTGAGCAAGGCATTGATCTATATGTATAGCAGAATGTCATTGGGAGTCATTTTATTGCTGTGCTCCGTTAGCAGAATAATAGCAGTAGGTTTTCTCCTATGACTTATCTAGTCTCAGATTCTTGGGCACTTTAGCAGTGTCAGACATGGGTCCCATTCCATGGAGTGGGCCTTAAATCCAATCGAAACATTTGTACCACTATTGAGGTAGTATTATTGACCTAGTATTTCTAGCAGGCATGTACTGTTGTAGATCAGTGTTTGCAGCTGGGTGATACCTTTCTCCTCTGATAGCATGCAGAGTACTTTCCAGCACCATGAACACTAGTCAGTAGGGGTGAAGCTTCTAGGTGACCGGCCTGACAATTCCATGTTCAAGTATTGTCATCAGCAATAGGGCCTCACCATCAGGTTGTGGTAAGATGTGTATGGCCTTGAAAATAGCCTGTGATGTGTGGGGGATTTTCATGGGACCCCTTGGGCTGACAACTGCAATTGTCTCTCTCCTTCTGAAGTTCAGTGACTTACACTGTCTGTTGTCTGGGATCTAAAAGCCATTGATTTGTGCATGTTGCTTAGTTTTAGCCATGCACAGTGGAGTAAATTAGGTCTTGTTATGCTTCGTGGCTGCAAACAGCAGACACAATGGACCCTAAATGTCTTTGACTGTAAGCATGAAGTGGCAGAGTGAACACTACATTGGAACTGCCACACACTGTGTCGAGATTTTTAATGTCTGTATCATCCAGCTAGTGACATGAACAACATTAGGGAACAAATTCCCTCACCTCAGTGGTTTATGGAAAGAAATGTTTAGTCTCATGACAAGTGGTCTTGGAGTCCCTGCGTCTGGGCTTGATTTGAAGCTACGACTTAAGTCTCCAGACTAGCTTGATTTTGCTCTCTGTATGTTCCAGGATATGGGCTAAAAGGACAGCAGCTAGCAAGTACATTTCAAGACGTCACAGGAGTGAAAGAATTGGTGTTACAGTGTGTGTGTGTGTGTGTGTGTGTGTGTGTGCATGCACATGGCATGTGGGGACATGCATGTCACAGAGTACATGTGGAGGTTAAAGGATTGTTGTGGGATATTTGATCATACTGTGAATATAGGGACATTGTTTACTTGGAAACCCTGCTTCTAGCTGCCGTAGCACATACCTTTAATTCAAGAGCTTTCCGTTTGAATATTATAAATAGGATTAAATAAAATAGACCTTAGGTCAAGAGGTGGAGCAAACAATCAGTTGACAGCAAAAAGCCGTAGAGAAGAAGAAGTCAGGAGGATGGAGAGAGACACAGGAAGCAGGAGGGAGGGGCAGTCACTTGGAGGAGTTTTTGTTTAGATGGCTAGGAGAAAGCTCTCTCTGGGAAGGTGGCAGCGGAGGAAGAGCTGGGCGCTTTCTCTGCCTTTCTGAGCTAGCAGGATCTGGTTCCTGAGTCTTTGCTGATAAAATAGAATGATAGAGACTAGGTTAATAGCAACCGAGGATAACTTGTGGTCCTGTGGGTCAAACTTAAGCCATCAGGGTTGGTGGCAATTGTCTTTACTTGCTGAGCAATCTGAAATCTCCTTTTGCAGGGAATGTGAACACACTTTCCCACCCTGCTCTCCCTCTGTGGAGAGGATGGATGGCAGACAGCTGAATTCTATCCATCATTGGACCAGGGTCACTGCCAAGCTGCTCTCCAGAAAGCATTTTAATGTCTATTTGAACTCAGACATTCCTTGTTGTCCCTGCTCCATTGACGCTCCTTCCTCCCATTTGCAGAGGCTCTTTGGGGGCAGGTACATTGCGGTCCAGGGTGGGTCCACACCAAAGCCCCAGCATCCACTGGTGGATTTTAAGGAGGCTCCCTCAAGATTGACTGCCAGTGTCTCATTGGCCTGGGTTCCCTGGCTGGTGTGTTCCTCTCTTCCTCAACCCCTCTCCAGGCTGGGTGACTGTTTCATGACCCGTGTGAGGTAGTACCACACATCTCAGCTAATAAAGCCTTTGGATCCAGATAACATCTCAGTGGGGAGTGAGAGTCAATAGACCTCAGCATGTTCTAGAAGATGGACCACATCAAGGTGTTCCAGGGTCTCTGATGCCAATCACGAGGGGCAAGGTCCATGATATCTCCAGGATCCTGAGTGTGCATCTGTGGTGCTGTATTTCCATGCTGTGGACTCCTGAAGAACCTCCTGTTTGGTCTTACCCCATCCTCCAGGCTTTCCCAGGGGTGGGGTAGGTTGGGAAGGAGCAGCCCCCACCCCATGGGACTAAATCGCTGAACTACAGAGAGGTAGAAAGGGGGACCCCAGCCTGAGAAGTGGGTTTGGGTTCCTGTTCTGCCGCTCATACACAGAGGACTGTTTATGAGAACTGGCTCTGTGCTAGGGTCACAGGGAGGACCTAGACAATAGGCTCTGGCCATCACAACACTTTCCATCGTAAAGTCTGTGGCAGTCCAAGAAGTCAGCCGTGGAAGGGCAAGGCTGGCCCGCCCCACGCTTCTGGCTTCTAATGACATAAGCCAGGTTGTGACGAAGAAGAATGTTACTGACCTGCCTAGCTTCAAGATGCCTAAAGAGGAGTGAAAACCCCAACAACATCAACTGTGTCATCGCCTTGTCGCTCCTCACGACCACGAGTTCTTGGATTTACGGGACAGACACACTAGGAGCAGAGGGTATTTTTATTCAGTTGTCATCATTTCTGGGCGCCTATTCCTGCCCCGTAGCTGTGCTGGGAACACAACACGGGCCACTGCTGACTGTGCTCCTTCCCCTTCATGCCCCTAGTCCAAGTCACAGAGCCAGGTTGTGAAAGGATGGGAGGGCCCTGAGGCAGGATCACTGGGTCCCCCTGTGGGGACAGGGAGTTTGGGCCTTAGTTTTGCAGAACCCCACACAGCTTGGGGTAGGGGAGATGGCTCAAGGTACTGATGCCTGCAGAATTCTGGGGAGCTTCCCACTAGTCTCGGACTGCAAGGATACATAGCTCCCTGCGGGCAGGACAAGTGGGTGACGGTGAAGCGTCTGGGTCGAGACACTGGCCCTTGAGGTACCTACATTCGACTGTCTTATCTGGGGCTCTGAAGCCCTCCCTGGCCTGCCATAGCCATTCCTGGGCTTCTGAGCCGGGAGTAGACTCGGGTGGTGACTGGCGGACAGTTATAGATCCTGGATTGTTACCCTCCTGTGGTGCACCGCCTGGGATGACCCGGCCTGCACTCGCTGGGGTTCTTATAAACGTGACAGTGAGCAGCAACCCAGCCTTGGCCTCAGCTTCTTGGCAGCTCAGTCAGGACCACCCATCCTGTGCTCTCCCGGACACTGTCCTCACAGAAGCACAGCTCTCCTCCTCTGGTCCCAAATTTGCCATCTGCTCTGGGTGGCTTTGTGTCCTATCTGAGGTCACTAGCGAGGGTCAGGGTCGTCATCTTCACATCAGTCATTCTGTCTGCAGAACAGGGTGGGGCTCCCATCAGAAAGTCAGTTGCTTCCCAGGCCTGAAAGAAGACAGTGCTATTAGCTTGGGGTAGGGGCTCTCTCAGGATGACAGGTGCTGTGGGGAGGCTGGCCACATTCCAGCTCTGAACCCTGTAGGAAATAACTTCCTTTGCTCTTTGCTAAGGAACCATTCCTCAGCAGACCCACACTCATTCCAACCCCATGGTTTCCAAGGGTGCCTCTACTTACACACACACACACACACACACACACACACACACACACACACACACACACATACACACACACACACACACACACACGCAGGCACGCACACACACACACTTTAAAATAAGTCTTGGGATCCACCGTAGGCATACAGCTTTTAAGTCTGTGTTTGAACAGGATATTTACAGCCATGCACACAAAAGTGTGAGCATATTCCTAGTTCATCTGCCTAAAGTTTGGATAATAAGGTAGGTGCCGCTGGCGGTGGAACCAGTATTTATCCTTAGTTCACGAACGGGCTTTGGGAGCCCATTCCCTATGGAGGGATGCTCTCTCAGCCTAGATACACGGGGGAGGGCCTCGGTCCTGCCCCAAATGATGTGACAGCCTTTGATGATCCCCCTGGGAGGCCTCACCCTCTCTGAGGAGCAGATGGGGGATGGGATGGGGAGATGGTGGGGGGAAAAGGGAGGGAGAGGGACCTGGGATTGGTATGTAAAGTAAGATTGCTTTTTATTTAAATTAAAAAATAATTAAAGATTAGGCAGGTTCAAGGGGGGAACTGTGAGATCTCTCGGGTGGAGTGAGGAGAGCATTTTAAAACATTTCAGTGGGCAGGCAGGCTGAGGTAAGGTTGGTGAGAGAATGGTGAAGGAGACGCTGCAGCCGACTGGGAGTGAGGACAGTGGGCTCTGTCTGTGCCCACCGGATGTGGGGAGTAATGGAGTAAGACAGCATGGTCCCTGCCCGCAGTACTGCAGGGCCAGCGCTGTGTGAGGCCACACTGTGTGTGAGGCCAGCACTGCCTGTGAGGCCAGCACTGTGTGTGAGGTCAGAGTTGTGTGTGAGGCCACACTGTGTGAGTCAGCACTGTGTGTGAGGTCACAGTGTGTGTGAGGCCACACTGTGTGTGAGGCCACACTGTGTGTGAGGTCACACTGTGTGTGTGGCCACACTGTGTGTGAGGTCAGAGTTGTGTGTGAGGCCACACTGTGTGAGGCCAGCACTGCGTGTGAGGCCAGCACTGTGTGTGAGGCCAGCACTGTGTGTGAGGCCACACTGTGTGAGGCCACACTGTGTGAGTCAGCGCTGTGTATGAGGCCAGTGCTGTGTGAGGTCAGAGTTGTGTGTGAGATCACACTGTGTGAGGAAAACGCTGTGTGTGAGGTCACACTGTGGAATTTAGCAGAGATGACCCCCCCACAACATATCCTTTCAAAGTATTTTTGGATTTACTTAGTGTGTGTGTCTACATGCCGTTGCATGTGTACAGGACAAGGACTGTTGTGACCACTATCTTTCCCGTTTACCACACAGATGCTGGGTGCCTCAGGTCAGCAGGGGCCACCTCACAGGCTCCCTTCCCCGTACTCACACCTGTCCTGACCCAGCTCCAGAACAGCCACAAGGCCTTTTAGACACCACAGGCCACACCACAGACCCCATGGGACTGAAATCTCTGTGGGTGGCTGGGAAAGCTGGTTCACAGGCAGGGCTGAACTTCCCAGTGTCGTCTCTCCAGGCCAAGGACAGGTGGCTGAGAGCTGGGGCCACCTCAGGCCTAGATCTGATGTCTCCTCTGGATGAGGAGAAGCCTGGGAGAGGACGGGAGGGAGTCTGAGCCAGCTCCCTCCTCTAAGGTCCTGACTCCTCTAACTAAGGTCCCGACTCCTCTAAGGTCCTGACTCCTCTAACTAAGGTCCCGACTCCTCTAACTAAGGTCCCGACTCCTCTAAAGTCCTGATTCCTCTAACTAAGGTCCCGACTCCTCTAACTAAGGTCCCGACTCCTCTAAGGTCCTGACTCCTCTAACTAAGGTCCCGACTCCTCTAAGGTCCCGACTCCTCTAAGGTCCTGACTCCTCTAACTAAGGTCCCGACTCCTCTAAGGTCCTGACTCCTCTAAGTAAGGTCCTGACTCCTCTAACTAAGGTCCCGACTCCTCTAAGGTCCTGACTCCTCTGGGTCAGCACGCAGCTGTGCCCAGGAGGATGAAGAAGCCATGCTCCACAGCACTCTGGGACGCGGCTCCTCACAGGAGGCTACCACACAGCCATGCAGGTGCCGTTTCTGTTGCACACACCGGGTCCCCGTTAAGCAATGGAGCTGGAGTAGCAGGGGTGACAGCATGCCCTTGGATGGAGCATATCACCAAGGCCACCTTCCCCGATGCCAACTCTGGTACTCAGTGTGTTATGAGAGAGTTTATCTCTGAGGAGACTCACTGACAGGTAAGGGTGGTCACTGTCTGTGACATACAGAGGGTCATAGCATGATGTCCAAGGCCACAAATGGCAGAGATGGTTTGATCAGAGGTCCTGTCCTTCCTAATCCTTTCTCCCTCCCTCCCTCCCTCCCTCCCTCCCTCCCTCCCTCCCTGCCTCCCTGCCTCCCTGCCTCCCTCCCTCCCTCCCTCCCTCCCTCCCTCCCTCCCTCCCTCCCTCCCTCCCTCTCACTCTGACCCCTGGAAGCACTCTCAAGCAGAATCTTGAGGTTTGTTGATAGGGCATTTTCCTGGCACCTCTTGGAGAAGGAGGACTTGGGGTTGTGGGGTCGCTCCGGGGAACTTCCAAATTTGAGGGTTAAGGAAGATTATAAAAGGGCCCGCAGAAAGGGGGTAACCTCATTTCCTCAGATGTTCAAGCCATGCTTGGCAGTGTAAGCGTGGATTTGACTCCATGGATGATGAACACCCCTATCGGGCATATACCTGTCTGCAGGTGTCCCTGCAGGGATTTAAACATGTTGCTGATAGTTCCCTAAATCAGTCCCATTCATCCTGGCTCTCAGTGCATGCTCAGAGCAGCAAGCCTCTCTGGGTTCCTGCCCCTGCTGCAGTCACAAACTCCCTGCAATGGGGCAGCATGCTAAAGTAATAGCAGAGAGCCCCAGGCAGGGCAGGCTGTTGGCTGTGGCTGGGAGGGTGCTGGCCTGGCTGCTGTTTGCCTGACAACCGGCCTGATAAGTGGGCTTCATACACAAGGCTACGCAGTGGGCCCTGGGCCATCTGCTCTGTCTGGACAGGTTAAGCCTACTGGCCCTTTGACTCCGACCTGGGGGGAAATGACCCCCGTGTCTTCCCTCTTCATGGCTTCTCCTGAGTCTGCACGATCACTAAGAATCCAGGAAGTTTTTTTCCTTTGGGAATGACAACTGGATTGTGGGACTTGCGTGTGTTTTGATGAATTGCTTCTGGCTCTTTGGAGAAAAACACTCCCAGCTGGGACAGGGCAAGGGTTAGTTCTGCCCTTCAGTCCATCCTGGTCCTTTCTTCCTGAGGCCAAGAGGTACAACAGAGAGAGAGCAGCCCTTGCTGGCTGTGGCTTTCGAGACAGTGTGGCTCAGTGGAGAGAGCTTCTTGGCTTTGCCTCTTTAGCTGTAGCAAGCCTCAGATTCCTCTTCTGGGGTCCAGATCTTGCCACTGTGTGCGTTAAAGTGTCAAGAGCATAGAATGCAGTGCTGACTAGCCTGTATGTGTGTGTGTGTGTGTGTTGTGTGCCTGTGTGCACATGTGTGCATATGGAGACTGGATCTCAGTCTTGGGTGTTGTTACTCAGATGCCATCCATCTATTTTTAGAGTGTGTGCTCTGGCCCACATGTGGAGCTCAGAAGACACTTGTGTGGGTTGGCTGTCCCCACCCACCATGTGGGTACTGGGGATCAAAGCCAGGAAGTTTGGCCATAAACACCTTTACGGGCTGACCCTCCTCATCGGCCCCGCCTTGCCTTTTGATACAGGGTTTCCCTCAGGGATGGGACACTCATTTAGCCTAGGCTGTCGGGCCAGAGAGCCCAGGGGTCTGTGTGTCTGCACTTTCTCAGCACTGGAGGCGTGAGTGTGTGTGTCCATACCAGTTCTGGAGATGAAACTTGGGTCCTTGTGTCTGTGCAGCAAACATTACCTGTGGGGCCACCTCTCCAGCCCTGATGCATGTCTTAAGCAAAGTGCCCATGCCAGGCTGTAGGGTGCACGCCTTTAACCCCAACACTAGGGAGGCAGATCTCTGAGTTCAAGGCCAGCCTGGCCTACAAGGTGAGGTCTACGACAGTCAGGGCTACACAGAGAAATCGTTTCTCGAAAACAAAACAACAGAAGTAAAGTGCCCAGTCTTCTTGTGGCTCTCTGGCATGTCAGAGACAGTGCCAGCAGGAAACACCACTCTGACACCAACCTTGGGCTTCCATCTCTTCTTCCCTGAGAGCTGATGACATTTGTCTTATTACAAAAGTGGCTGCAACGTAACGTAGAAGCACTGCCTCACTTGTAGGCTCTTGAGGGGAGGAATGATGGTTGACTTCTGCAGGCTATTTGGGGAGGGCTGGTAAGGGCCTTTCTTGCCCATCTTATGTCTACCGTACATTATTGCCTCTCACTTAACTGGTCCCCCTGTGGCAGTTAATTTTAACGGTCAACTTGATTGGATTGAAAAGTGCCTAAGAAGTCAGTAAATCACATTTCTTGGTGTGTGACAGTTTCTGAGGGGATTAACAAGGAGGGAAGAACTGCCCTGACTGGAGGTGGATCCTGCCCTGACTGGAGGTGGATCCTGCCCTGACTGGAGGTGGCTCCTGCCCTGACTGGAGGTGGCTCTATTCAGTGTTAGGTGTTAGGGAAAACGGAGAAAGCCTTGTACCCTTCTGCTCACTCTGGCTCCATTCTGTGAGTCCTTCCTCTCTGTCCTTCCTGTCACCACAGACTGGCAGTTCTGACACCATGGGCCCAGAGAGGACTCCTTTTCCTTAAAGTCATCTTACTCAGTGCTTTGTCACATCAACAGGAAGGTGACAGACACACTCCTCTTCTATCACACTGTGGGCTTCTTTCCACAGCAAAGTCCTGTCCACGGCAAGCTCATCTTCAGCCTCCGCTCAGCAGCACAGCCTCCTCCTGGCCTCCCGCCTTTCTGCAGCTGTCCCAGCTCCCCCCTCCCGCCCGCATGGCTGCCCTGTGTCTCTCTTTCGCTGTCTTCCTCCTCCCACACATGCCTGACTAACATAAAATACATAAAATGGCTCCTGTCCACCACTGCTGCATGGGGGACCCATGCTGCTGCTCCTGGAGCTCACACAGTGGGCATCCAGCGACAGTCTGGTTGTTTGGTGTGAGGCTGACAGTTTCCGTCAGCTCCAGGGCTCCATCCACGTGCAAACTGATTCCTTCTCAGCCACAGACAGGCAGCAGGGAAGCTGAGAGAGTGCAGCATCCACCAGGGCAAGGTGTTAGCCATAGATCCAGGGCCTTCTCCTTTTATGTTGTCTGTGGTTTGAGGGTGCTCACCAGGCTTGGTTCTCCATGTGGTGAGACTGGAAGGTGGGACCAGTAGGAGGTGAGGTCTATTGGGAGGTCCTCAGGTAACAGCAGACGCCTGAGGTTTTGCCCGCCTTTAATCCCAGCACTCGGGAGGCAGAGACAAGCGAATCTCTGTGAGTTCAAGGCCAGCCTGGTCTACAGAGTTAAGTTCCAGGACAGACTCCAAAGTTACAGAAAAACAAAAACAAACTAAAAAAAAAAAAAAGAAAGAAAGAAAAAGAAAAGAACCCCGAGCCCTGCATCCCTTGCTGGGTTCCGGTCCCACCGTGTGGCCCTCCCTCTTACCCCCATCGCCGTGAGGTTCTGAGTAGAGCAGAGGGGCTTCACGGGATCATGTGACCACTCTTGTTTACCATGTTACCCCAGCCTTCAACATTTCATTACAGCCATGGAACATGGCCAGACGGACATATCACCAAGGAGGGTGGCAGCTTTTGACAAGCCAAGACAATGTTAAATATTTGGAATACTGGAATGAGGCTAAGACTAAACCCAAGTGTAGGGTAGGGGGTCTGGCCTTGTTCCTGTGGATGTCTGGGAATGAAAAAGGCTTGTCCATGTTAAAGATGGTTAGCTGCCAAGCGAGCAGGCCAGTCAGGAAAGGCCTTCCGCTCTCCTGCTGCGGGACAGGTATTTCCTTCATGACTGACACAGTGTCCCCAGCCCTGGGTCTTCAAGTGGTGTTTACATCCGCAGCTCCTTGGCAAGAGCTGTGTGCCAAGGAGAGGAAAGTTTCTAGCCAGGGCTTCAATGAGTTACCACACTGCCCTCAGCCCCTTCCTGTTTAGAGAAGGTTGGGCAGGAGGAGCGGGATGTCTACAGGGGACAGAGAACAAAGCCAGCGTCTGGAATGGGAAGGAGGCTGTCCAGGTGCAGCAGGAGTGCCCTGGCCCGCCACCCACACAGCTGCCCCTGGGGCTTGGAGAAGCAGGGCCAGCTCACAGGAGGCGACTGAGGCCACGCTGTGGCTGCAGGCCTGCAGGCCCAGGAGATGCCTCCTTCCCTTGCAGCTTCCTGCTTGCTCCAGCCCCCCGCCCCCAAGCACGGGACACAAGAATAGGGACAGCTGGGCCTTGGAGGCGGTCCAGGCGCTGTGGACTTACATTTCTTCTGCAGAACGCTCTGTCTGGCCTTGATGAATGCCAGGATGTCAGAATCGGTCTGGCTGTCCCCAGTGAGAGGGATGGATGACATTGGCCTTTCGGGGACACTGAAGATAAACACATGTCACAAGTCACTACACGCCATAGCTGGATGATGCCTCTCCACAGTGATTTCCTACTTTGCTTAATTTTGACTTTTAAACATTTAAACATGTGCCTGTCTCTCTGTGTGTATGTCTTTGCCTGTGGTCTCTGTGTGTGTGTGTATACGTGTCTCTGTGTGTGTCTCTGTGTGCATGTGTATACGTGTCTCTGTGTGTCTGTCTCTGTGTGTCTGTCTCTGTGTGTGTGTGTATACGTGTCTCTGTGTGTCTGTCTCTGTGTGCATGTGTATACGTGTCTCTGTGTGTCTGTCTCTGTGTGTGTGTGTATACGTGTCTCTGTGTGTGTCTCTGTGTGCATGTGTATACGTGTCTCTGTGTGTCTGTCTCTGTGTGTCTGTCTCTGTGTGTGTGTGTATACGTGTCTCTGTGTGTCTGTCTCTGTGTGCATGTGTATACGTGTCTCTGTGTGTCTGTCTCTGTGTGTGTGTGTATACGTGTCTCTGTGTGTGTGTCTCTGTGTGCATGTGTATACGTGTCTCTGTGTGTGTGTCTCTGTGTGCATGTGTATACGTGTCTCTGTGTGTCTGTCTCTGTGTGCATGTGTACACGTGTCTCTGTGTGTCTGTCTCTGTGTGTGTGTGTATACGTGTCTCTGTGTGTGTCTCTGTGTGTGTGTTTGCGTGTGTTTGCGTGTGTCTGTGTGTGTTTGCATGTGTGTGCGTGTGTGTGCGTGTGTTTGCGTGTGTTTGCGTGTGTAGTCAGAGGATAACTTGAGGCAGACAGTTCTCTCCTACCATGAATTCTGGGGACCAAACTCAGGCCATCACAAGTGTGCAGCATGTGCCTTCACCCACTGAGCCTGCTTTTCTGGTTTTGGTCACGTGGTTTTCGTCTGACCCCCAGCTTTCTCCTTCCTCTATGTGAAGGCCTCACAAGTCTTTCATTGGCCATGATTCCCCCTTCATATCACTCCCGAGTAGAGTTCAAACCCCGCCCCATGGCTTCCTGGGTCCCCAGGGCTCTGACCCCGCCCCATGGCTTCCTGGGTCCCCTGTGCTCTGGCTGGTTTCTTCCTGCTACTCCAATGAACTGACTCCTTCCAGCCTTGTGGTCTTTGCTCTAACTACTTCCTGTCCCCGCTGCGCCCCATCCACCTTCCTACAGGAACACAGCACGAGGCATGAGACAGGCAGAACCAGGGGTTCTCTAAGCCGGGGAAGGAAGGGGAAGGGGCCAGGACCCCTCCCTTTAACAGGAGAGCTTTTGGAAATTTCACACAACTCTTCTGCTTACAAATTTCATTGGCCTCGTGGCTGCAAAGGGTGCTGGGAAATGTAGCTTATTAATAGTAGCACTTTGGCTAAATATGGTTGTGATCTGAAAGAGAGAATAGCAGTCTTCGTCTTGGGGACAAGTAGTGTGTGGGTAAAGGGAAGACATCATCAAGATGTCAAATCTATGTTGAGTGACAACGGAGAAGTTAGTTTGAGTAAGTTAGTCTGGGATGAGAGGATAAGAAGGGAGACGGTCACAAGTTACCCTGATCAGGGCCCCAGCCTTCTGGGGAGGCGGGTTAGCTCTCTTGGGGCAAAGGGCTCTGGCAGACCAGGCTGGCCTCAAACTCAGAGATTCACCTTCCTCTGTCCCCCAAATGCTGGGACTAAAGTGTGTGCCAACTTACCTGGTGCATCTTATATGTATACCAGGGGATGGGAAGGGGGAGCTTGGTGCTGGAGAAAATGCCCCCAGCTTTGAGAGTGAGAATGCAAGAGAAGGTCTGGGGGACTTCCCGGTACCTGGGCAGGGGTCAGTCCCAGGTTCTGCCTACAGGAATTGGACAAGAGGCCCTCAGGTGGCTGGGGACACAGACCCTATGGCTCCCCGTGCCCCCTGTAGGGACTGTCACAGTATTAGGGGAGACCTACACACCTGTCTTGCAGCTGGGTCCCGGAGCCACTGGGTCCTTGGCTGTGCTGACTGGGACACGGGGAGGGGAGGATTCTTCTGGAATTCCCATCACTGCAAAACCAAACCAACAGAAGCAAGAAGACATGGGGAAGTGCCTAGGAGAGACTCGGGGTGTGCGTCCCCTCCACGGTCACAATTCCCAGAATGATGACATCAGGAGGTGGGCCTTGGGGAGGTGACTGGGCAGATGAGCCCCTTGTGGGTCCAGCCCTCATAATGGAATCAGTGCCCTTGTGAGAGGCAGACAGACTAGAACACTGTCTGTACACCACAGAAAGGAGGTGTCTACACACTAGGAAGGGAGCCGCCAGCAAGATGTGCTACATCTCTGTGCTACAGAATCCACAGGCCCTAGCGTGGTGCACACAGCCCCTTTGGGCGGTGATGAGGTCACGAGGCACGATCCTGAGACAGGGATTAGCAATTTTCCAAAAGACACATGAGTGCTTCCTGACCCTGGCGCGGTGGGAGGGGCATGGCCCTTACCCGACATCCAGACTGCCAACGACATCTTCAACTTCCCAGCCTTGAGCACTGTGACAAACAGAAGGACAAATGCGTGTGGACCATGTTACCGCAGCTGAAGGCTTACCTGGCACACCCAAGATGCTGGGTACGCTCCGATACCAGAAAAGCCAGCCGCCAACCAACCCACCCACCCAACGAGCCACTGGGATGCTGGCATCTGTAACAGCAACCTGAGAGACTGGACGACAGTCTGACCCCCCAGCCCCCCATGATTTTCACTGCTGGCCCAGAGAAGAGGACAGCACACAATGGCTGCAATGGCCACAAGTGTCATTTGTGGACAGTGTCTACAGCCAGGCCATCAGGCAGCGCTCTGTGACACTGTGCCCCTTTGCCAGCAGTGAGGGACAGAGGCACAGCCCCATGCTGGCACCCTCAGCGGCCCGGGGCGTTAGACCTTCAGGGACACAGACTCAGAAAAGAACTTCAGGACTAACCAGGCTATGAGGCAGCGTTAGCAGATGTGTGAAAGAAAGGCCTGCCACTGGAGGGTAAGAGGGGTGGGCTTCTCCACACGCAGCGATCCACAACTCTCCACCGGACCGAGCTCCCTGAGTCCACTCAAAGGGAGGGAGGAGCAGAGGGTCCAGGATGGGGAAAACCACAGCAACTAGCTGACCTGAGCTAGTGGGAGCTCACTGAGTCTAGACTGACAGTTGGGGGACCTGCTTAGGACCTAACTAGACTCCCTGAGTGCAGGTGGCAGTGGGTGGCTTGGGCAGTTTGTAGGGCCACTGGCAGTGGGACCAGGATCTATCCCTAGTCATGAACTGGCTTTTTGGAGCCCATATCCTATGGGCTCAGCCTAGACACGGGGTAGGGCCTTGGTCCTGCCTCAGTGTGGCGATGGGACAGAGTTGGTTGACTCCCCACGGGAGTTTGCTCTCTGAGGAGCAAACGGGGGAGGGAGGAGCAGGAGGAGGGCAGTGAGGGAAACTGGAATTAATGTTAATAAAAAAAGGGGTTTCGGGCTTCTCAAAGAGCCTCAGAGAGTAACGCACATCATGTGTGGGTGGGCGCTGGCTCCTCCTTGGGTGAAACTGTAACTCGGCAGGTGAGACCAGAGCCACTAGGAGCACACCCGGGATTTAGGACACGTCCTTTCCCTGTTTCCGGGGGAGTGCCAGACAACACTCATGGTGACCACTGCATGCCCACCGAGGGAGCACTCACACCCGGCAGCTCACCAGATGTGTTTAGGCCCAGTTAGCGTCACCGTCTGGTGTGTGCTTCTTGCCCAGCAAGAGCCCCACATTCCCCCTGTGAGGGGACAGGAAGGCTGCTCTTTATTCCTGCAGTGCGCTCTCCTATGGGAACTTCGGAGCCTCTTCTGTACCTTGGGATGGTCCGGTGAAGAGTGGTGTCAGAGGCAAATGGGACTTTAGTCACGTAGTGAACACCTTCATTTTATAGCTGGAGGCACTCAGGCTGGGAGGCGGGCCAGGGTGACAGACAGGTGAGCTCTGGCTTAGGCCCACAGCTTGCTTTCCCACAGATGAGTTTGGCTAGCGCCTACAGCCAACATTTTGCTGTCCCACCTCAGACATGAAGACAGGGCGGTCCCCTTTCCATGGGGCTGTCTCCACAGGCTCCCGACCATGAGCCAAATAAACAGGAGGGGAAGCCAGAGAGTGTCGTTCCCAAACCCTACTGACACCCCACGCTCATTCCCTAGCTGTCTAAAGTTTCTCTCTGGAACCCTAGGGAAGAGAACGAGCTCCTCTGTGCTGGGTCTGACTTGGGGTGCTGCAGGACCAGAGACAGCCAGAAGGTGTCAGGCTCTGCACATCCTTCTTGGGAGAAAGGCTGCCATGTCTCAGAGCTTCTAGGGTGGTTGGAGCGAGCCTTGGGAAGGGAAGGAGGGGTTTCCTCCTGCAGGTGCCACCCTCACGGCAGGCCAAGGGCGGTTTGGAAGCAATTGTGAACTGAAGGAATATGCCATTGGCTCTCAAACAGCCCTTTCTCACTCTGTCTTTCTCCAGAGGCCAGGGCAAGTTCACGGATGCCAGGGTGCTGAGGGCCGAGTCAGCAGCGGGGCGGAAGGATGTGACCACACCAGGCAGACAGCTGCAGACAGAGGCTCCTGTAGAGGCCAGCTGCCTGGTCTGTTCCCTCATGCAATCCAGGCAAGAGGGGGGCACCGTGTGAAGTCTGGAGGAGGGAAAGGACTCCCTAGTTCCTAAGGGGTTCCCTAGCTCTGGGGTGCCACCATTAGTATATGTGACAGGCCTCACTATGGAGCTCCGATGATCATTGTTTTGTTTTCTAAAGCTGCTTGGGCCATTCTTCTTCTTCTTCTTCTTCTTCTTCTTCTTCTTCTTCTTCTTCTTCTTCTTCTTCTTCTTCTTCTTCTTCCTCCTCCTCCTCCTCCTCCTCCTCCTCCTCCTCCTCCTCCTCCTCCTCCTCCTCCTCCTCCTCCTCCTCCTCCTCCTCCTCCTCCTCCTCCTCCTCCTCCTCCTCCTCCTCCTCCTCCTCCTCCTTCTTCTTGGGTTTTTTTTTTTTTTTTGGTTTTTTCGAGACAGGGTTTCTCTGTATTGTTTTGGACCATGTCCTGGAACTCGCTCGGTAGACCAGGCTGGTCTCGAACTCATAGAGATCCGCCTGCCTCTGCCTCCCGAGTGCTGGGATTAAAGGCGTGTGCCACCACCACCCAGTGCCATCCATTTTTTTATCGCTGCACACAAAGTGTCCTGCGTGTATCTTAGGCAGTGTGAGCTCGGCAAACATCCTCTGGTTTGAGCACATTTCTTAACAGAGCCCTTTCATTTTTTATTTTATCGTTTATTTGTGTGTGAGTGTGTGCACGGCATGCATGCATGTGAGGGGCGGAGAACAACCTGCAGGAGGTGGTCCTCTCCTTCCACCATGTGGATTCAAATCAGGGGTCATAAGGCTCTGTTGCAGAGCCTTTACCCACTGAGCCATACTGCCTGCCTCTGACATCTTACTTTCACTTATTAATTGTTAGATATATTTATTTGTTTTCATTTTTTGTATGAGTGTTTTGCCTGAATGTATCAAAGTTTGCTGCATGCATGTGTGTTGCCCTTGGAGATCAAAAGAAGGCATCGGATGCCCTTGACGAGAGCTCCAGATGGCTGTGAGCCACCGTGTGGGTGCTGGGAACCAAACCTGGGTCGTCTCTAAGAACAGCCAGTGCTCTTAACCTCTGACATCTCGCCTGCTTCCTGGTATCTTTTTAAGAAGCTTCATTTCAGACTCCTGACACAGGATCTTGGTGTCCTTCAACCCAAAGGTTTGATGGCCCCGGGTGGCAGAGATGGATGCCTCACTCATGCTGTCCCCTCCTCTGGCCTAGCAGGGGTAGGTGGCAGGAGGTGCCAATCAGAGACTGCCACCGTGTTCGTTGACTAGTGAGAGACCAGAGCATGGTGTGCAGAGACATGCAGTCACCATTGGATTTTTCCGCCACAGAGAATGAACCAGAGGACAGGAGCTCTGTTGGAGCTGGTGGTATAGGCATTTGCAACTCATGCACCCACGTGGGAGGCATCCGCAGCTTACCCATGTATCTTCTGAATCTTCTCTAGGACAAGGGATGTTAACCATGCCCCTCCTGCTCACACCAACCCCTTCTTCCTCCTCAGGTGGCAGGACTAGGGCTCACACAGTTGGCCAGTTTCCTTCCTTACATGGTGATTGGGTGCACTGACTTGGCCGTCAGAGTGAGGGTCTGAGGGGTGTGCACTAAATGGACTCTAAGGCTACAAGCCTGGGGCCTACAACTAATTAAACAGCAAAGGCAGTCCATCCTCCCAGACCACGGGAGCCTTTCCTGGACCCCCGACTCAGTTCATGGTTCTTTCCTGACCTTTTCTTGGAGAGAAGCTGTGGCTGGTCCTGCTGGCAAACTGGCTTCAGGCGCTCCTGGGGATTCATGGCTGGGGAGTTTACCTGTTGGCTCAAGAAAGCGTTTTGTAAGTTAGCTTAAGCTCATGGTGTGATGTTCTTGATGTAACTCTTGTCTTCTATCCTGCAGCCTTGGGGCTGGAACTGGGCTCTCAGGGTGACGAGGCAAGTGTTCTACCGCTGAGCTGCACCCCAACCCCTTGATGTATTCTTTAAAACACCCTTTCTATTCTTTTTAACTCCTTTATTTATATGTGTGTGAATTTGAGGACCAGAAGAGGTTCCTGGGAGCTGGAATTACAGGCAGTTGTGAGTCACCCAGTTTGGGTGCTGGGAACCTAACTCGGGCCCTTTGGAAGAACAGGAAGTGCTCTTAACCACGAAGCCATTTCTCCAGACTGTTGATGTCATTGTCAAGGGGGACGTCAGTATGCACGATGTACATGACAAAATTAAATCTAGACATAGTTATGACAAGTTTTGTTCACTGAAGTACTGTCTTTGGATTTAGACATTATTAGTAAGGTCTGGCTTATTTTCTGTGCCCGCAGGTCCTCAAATGGAGCATATATTATTTTTTTTCATGTAGAAAGAGGAGAGTACAGTGTCATCCAGCAATTCTCAGGAAATCCTTGTCCCTAAGACCCTCTGATGGAGCCAAGGAGCACATCTGGAGCACTGACCTCTGCATGTCTCCATGACCCCAGAGAGCAAGGCTGGGTTAGCAGTGACTGAGTCTCCCACAACACCCTGTGAGTCTCCCTGAACACCCCTCATGTCTCCCTGAACACCCCGTGAGCCTCCCTGAACACTCCTCATGTTTCCCTGAACACCCGTGAGCCTCCCTGGACCCATGGGCCTGGTGAGTCTGCAAGGAGCTGCTGCCAGGCTGTTCCACTGGCTCCTGCCACTCGGGGAAGGCATCACCCAACACTCGCCACCTCCCTCGGTCTGCTCCAGTCCACCTAGGACACTTTTACAGGGAGGGCTATGAAATGACCCACAGCTGAGTGGCATTGGCTTCCCTGTGGCAGGGTATCTGTCATCTCTGCTGTCACCATCTGGCCTCCTTTGTTTCAGCGACAACACCCTGGGTGGCAGGAAGCACATGGAGCCAAGCACCTTGGCTTTCACAGTCTATGTAGCTAATGGGCAATGGGCATCCGCCAGCCTTGTGTGAACTCTTCTGCAGTCACATTCTGTGACCCTTGTCTACTGTCCTGTGCTGGGCTCCCCTGGCCGAAGGCCTCACTCCCAGATGAACTCCAGGGATGGTTTTGCACCCAGAGTGCCAACAGAGACCGGGGTCATTGTGGACATGCATGGAAACCAACTCCATCTTCATCTCCCCTAACTTATTCCTGAGATTAATAAATGACAGCAATGGTCCCTGTGACTTGGTAACCAACCAAACCACACACATTGTCATATCACCATGGCTGGTACAGAGATATTGAAATACTGTGTTCATTGTGACTCTGAAATCATGATAAATGCTGGCAATACTTCACTGGTAACCATACATATCTACAAAAGAAAGTGCATATTTTATTACGTAGCTTTCTTTTAAAATTATTTTGTTAGCTGTATCTCAGACTATTTAATTTTCTTTCTTTTCCTGTGTACTTTTTTGTTGTTGTTGTTTTTTCGAGACAGGGTTTCTCTGTGTAGCTTTGTAGACCAGACTGGCCTCGAACTCACAGAGATCCTCCTGCCTCTGCCTCCTGAGTGCTGGGATTAAAGGTGTGCGCCACCACCACCCGGCATCTGTGTATTTAATTTTAATGAACTATTTTTATAGTATTGTCATATGATCTGGTAATGCATGAATTTATTATTGTTGATTTTTAATTCATTTATCAACTTATTTACTGTTTTATGTGTGAGAGTGAATGAGAGAGTGTGTGTGTGTGTGTGTGTCAGAGTACAACTTCCGGGAGAGAGTTTTCTCCTCACACTAGGTGTGTCCCAGAGCATTCTCCACATCATCCCCCATTACTATCATGTCACACACCTGCACCACATGTATGTGCAAATCTAGGTTGCACATATGAGAAACGTGTGCAGTGTTTATCTTCCCAAGTTTCCCCTATTGAGCAATTATCTCCAGCTTCACCCATCTTCCTACAAAGGGAACAATTTCATTCTTCCTCATGGCTGACTAGAACTCCGCTGCATTCACACACCACCTTTTGTCTTCTGGCTGTTGATGGGCGCCTACAAGGGCTATTGTGGACAGCACAGCTCAGAAGGATGCACACGTATTTCTGCTGTGTGCTCAGATTCCTTCATCCAGGGGTAGCATACCTGGGTAATGCTGGTGTTTTCATTTCTGTCTGCTGAGGAACCATAACACTGATTTCCATAATACATATAAAAGCTCCGTGTGTGGCCCAGGCTGGGCCTGAATTCACAGTCTTCCTGCCTCTGCCTCCTAAGTGCTGCCGCTGCCGTGGCCTGTAGTGATGTTCTGGTCAGTGCTTGTCTGGGTGCCCAGGGGCACACACCTCTTCTGCCTCTCAGTTCCATTGTCCCTACAGGGAGGGGTGAGCCTGGGACAGACTCTCCAAGGGAGATGCGACACTGTGACCTCCTCACTTCCATCCCGCCATATGCAGGGGTTTCACGGGGCAAACAGGAAGCAGGGATTTTTTTTTACTGATACATTTTAGCAGGTTATTTTAGCCTTCACAACATCACAGAGACTTTCTAGGGCTTCGTCTGGGGAATATGCAAAAATCATCTACAGATATGTCTTCAGTGAAGAAAACCAGAAACCTCCTGAATATTCAAGAACAGATTGACTAAACTGTCTAGAGTATATTCACATGATGGAAACAGTGACAGTTGGAAAGGACATTACAAAACTAGGATCTGAAAAAAGAGTCATTCTAAACAGTTAAAAACACAAGGCCAGCGTGAGGCTTGGAAACCAGTAGAATGTATCTCAATGGTAGATACTTGGCCAGCATGCCTGAGATTCTGGGCTTCAGTCCTGGTACCACAAACCCTAAAGCAACAAATCCCCGCCACGTCCCGCGCACGCACACACCCCTGCTCCATCAAAATGATGAAAACCCCATTCATGGTGTATATCAGGGGGAAAAAGAATGCAAGCTGTCATAAGCCAGCCTGTTAATACTGGCTCTCCCTACGTGATGAAATAAAAGTGATCTCTACTTTTCTCTTTGTGTTTTTCTAAAATTTCTAGAACCAATATGCAGGTGTGTATGGCTCTGTAGTAAGAGAAATAATAGGCAGGTATAGTGGCATATGCCATTGCTTCCAGCACTCAGGAGGCAGAAGAAGGAAGATGTCTGAGTTCAAGGCTAGCCTGGTCTACATAGAGAGACACCGCCTCAAAGAGGAAGAACAAACGAGTAGGGAAGGGAAGGAAGAAAGGGAGAACAACGCCGAATGCCATCTCCACAGTATCTCAGATGAAGCAACGGAGACACAGCCGCGGTTTTGGAGTCGTCTCCCATGGTCAGGCTGTCCGAGGCTCTGGAGCAGGAGGCGCTGAACTCCTGACGTGTGTTCCTGTCACTCGGGTGAGCACTGCCGTGTGTTCCTGGCACTCGGGTGAGCACTGCCGTGTGTTCCTGGCACTCGGGTGAGCACTGGTTTTTTGAGCCAGGCGCAGCGCACACTGGTTTTTTGAGCCAGGCACAGCGCACACAGGCCTGCTGTTTGGAGCCCTCGCATCCGGATGCTCTGCAGCGTGCCTACCTGCAGGTTGCTAGCCTCCTCGGCCCACCAGACTTGGAACTCCTTCTGCAGCTTCACTTTGGCTTTGTCCATGAGCAGCTGCAGGTGTTCGATCTCCACCTTGAGGGCCTTCAGGCGCAGGAACGTGGTTTTGTACCTACAGAGGGAGAGCAGCTGCAGTGTGCTGATGCCCTGAAGTCACCCGCACAGGAGGACGCTGTAAGTGAAACAGGCCTCAGAGGCCTGCCAGAACTGCCCTGGTGCTCAGAAGTGGGGCCAAAGGCGTCTGCCAAGGCTAGAACATGGCACCAGGTATTGAGCCCATCAGAGAGAACAAAGCGGGTCATTTTTTTGTCAGTAGGCACTTGGGGATCTTCTGCAAGAATGAGAACTCCCTTTCACTGGGCATGTACTCAGGACAAGTGTGAAGTTGACCCTCACTGTCAGCGAGGCTAGATTCTGAGTCACCTAGGAGACACACCTCTGCCGGTGCCTACGAGGGCGTCGCCAGAGAGCTTTCACTGGGCAGGGCAGATATCCACCACGTGGACTTGAAGTCTGGATGGAATAAAAAGATTGGGCAAGCTGAGCACCAGCATCCATCTCCGTGAAACCAGCAGCCTGGTGTTCCTGCCCGTGCCTTCCCTGCCATGATGGACGGCACCCTTAGACAGGGAGTAGAAACAACTCCTCCCGTGAGCTGTGTTTGCAGTTGCTTTTCATGGCAACAAGAGAAGCACTAATACATGAGGACAGATGGACAACTGAGGGAATGCCAGTGTGGATGACAGCACACAGGTGTGGGTCACACGTAGCCTTTGCTGGGACACTGTGAGGGGGTGCAGCGCTGGGTGCTGGCATTGCTCAGGTGAGTGTGTGTGTGTGCCTGCGTGTATGCATGTGTGTGCCTGCGTGTATGCATGTGTGCATGTGCCTGTACATGCATGTGTGTGTACCTGCATGTGCGTGTACATAAATGCCTCTGTGTGTGCGTGCGTGCTTGTGTTGGGAATGGCTGCAGTGATGCCATCAGCAGCTTGAGGCAGGAAGGTGACTTGTTCTAGACTTCCAAGTCCCAGCCACGGCACAGAGGAGAAAGGAATGAATGGGCCTGGCCAGTGAAGCCTGCATCTCGTCACACTGTAAGTAAAGTCACTTTGGGCCCCGGGATAAGCTTTGATGACGCTGTGGGCTGTGGAGTGAGGCACACCACAGTTCTTTCAGAGCAGTGGTTCTCAACCTGCCTAACGCTGTGACCCTCATGCTGTGACCTCATGCTGTGGTGACCCCAACCATAAAATTACCTTGTTGCGATGTCAGAACTGTAATTTTGCTACTGTCATAAAGTAAATCTCTGGTATGCACGATACCTGATATGTGTCACAACCCACAGGATGAGAACCATGTGGACAAGGTGCCTCCCCATCCAGCAGCCTCCCCTCCCAGGCCTTGCTGAAGCGACTCCTCACCTCTCCTGCTGTTTGAGGTTCCAGGCTGGACCCATTTCCTAAGGGGAAGATGGAGGCCCTGGGGGGGGCTCCAGGTAGACCTGGGGGTAAGGGCTGGGGTCAGAATGCATGTGACAACAAACAAGCAAGAGACAGCCGTCAGCTTACCTAGTCTTCTCCTCCTCCAGCTGTGAGCGCAGTTTCTCTTCCTGGGGGTCAGGCATGGAGGGTGTGGCTGTGTTCTCTGAGATTCCTGGAGAACAAAGATGACAGTGGGTTACAGCAAGGAAGGAAGGCAGAAGAAAAATGTGAGGTGGCCAGTAACAGTTCAAGGACATCCAGAGAGGAAGGGGTCCTGGGAGTTCCTTCAGGAGCCTCTGGGTGGCAGCCTGAGCTTGGCTTCAAACCTCCCTCCTCTGTGTTCAGCTGCTGCAGGGGATTAGTCCACCTCCCCTCCTCTCCCCTGCACTCTTGTCCTCTGGGGTCCATAGGGAAGAGGCAACCCGCATTTCTGCACTAGGGAAAGGGCCCTTTCTAGGCCAAGAAGAGGGCACGGCTCTGACCCCCTTCCTGTGCCTGCACGGGCTGTCTGCCGGGATCAGAACCTCAGCTCTTGTTCTCCGTCTCCATATGAGACCGAGGTTTTCAGGCTAATCCGTCAACGGAGGTGACATGAGTCTGTATAAAACACTTGGCCCGAAAGCAGAGGACCTGAATCCTCAGAGGCACGTGAGGCTGGTGTGTGGTGTGCGTCCTGGGGCCGGATGGAAGCTCGTGTCCAGCCACAGCAGCGAGCGACGAGAGGGACCCTGCCTCAAAGGCAAGTTCGACCCCAGCCTCCACCTCCATGTGGTGCTGTGCATGCACCTGCCCACATTCGTACACACACAAATGACACACACATACACACATGCACACACGCGCGCACGCACGCATGCACGCGCACACAGTGTGTTCTCAGTTGGACGTGGTGGCATGTCTCCCTAATCCCATCATTTAGAGACTGAGGCAGAAAGGTTAAAAGCTTGAGGCCACCCCAGGTTGCATATTGAGATTCAAGCCAGCTGGGGCTAACGGACACCCTGGTTCGGACAGAACTACCCTCCAGAAACCCCAAGTAATCCAGTCTATTTCTGCAGCAGGTGGGTTACTAACGCTGGACATTTTTTGAAGTCCTCTCTCTGAAATGTCCTGCCAAGTTCACTAGGCACGTGGTCCTCCGTGCACCACCATGCCCTTAGTGGAACCATGCTTGGAAGGCACTAGCAACTCCCTGCAGTTAGACTTCACATCTGGGGGGTCCGTGAACAACACAGATGAGAATGGCAGCTAGGAAGGGCAAAGCTGGGGTGTGAAGGAGGCAGATGCCCGCTCTCTCCGTCACGGCCTGTGTGAGCCTCTGCTAAGCCTCCACGCCTTCCATAAGTGGTCCCAGTGGACCCTGACGCAGCGCGGCACTGCCCTGCAGACAGCCCCCATCTGCCGGGGGCTACGCTCTTCTTTCCCTCCTCCCTGCCCGACTGACGACACATGGTCACATATGCTAATGGTTACTAGTGTGTCTTTCATCTTCGCGGAACCAATTACCCTTCCTTCCTTGTGCTAGGTGAGCAGGCATCTTCTGTCATGCCAGCTGAAGATGACACTGTCATCCTGTAGGAACATTTTATCAGCCTCACGAGCCCGAATGCTGGTCTTTGTTACCCGTGATCCTCCATGACCTCCAAGTCACAGGCATAGGGCGCTTTAGCGGTGGGGCCTTCCTGTTTCCTGCATCTTTCCCTGGAGCCTTGTTAGAGGCTGTGTACAGGACACACTGGATTCCCCGTTTATTTGACGGCCCTGTCCTTGAATAATGGCAGATGAGAAACACGGAAGGTGGTGTATTAGCACCAGGGACAGTGAGCGTTTAAGTGGTCAGGACACTTCCTAACCTAGGAGTTCGGGACCCATCTGTCTTGTGGCTCAATGACACAGAACTCTGCCTCATCTTCCTTTTTACACCTTTGACCAAGGGCAAACCAAGGGCACACGAGGGATACAGAGACAGCCTGCTCCGGAGCGATGGCTGGGGTCCAGGCACCGGCAGAGAGGCTGCAGGTGGATGAAGGAAGGGCTCTGGCGTTGTGTGGCAGGCAGCATCAAGGGCTGTGAGCGTGAGGAGGGAGGTGAGGGGCTCAGTCCCACCAGGCACTCATGGCCCTGCCTCACTCCATGGTGCATGGTGGTTTCTGTGGCTGCACTGCCCGTGTCTGTGATGTCCAGGAGCCACAGGTGCAGGGGACCATTCTGAATGTGTCTGACTCAAGAATAGAAGGCTAATGTCGGCTAGTGCTGGTGCAGCCTTGAGTTCAGGTCAATGTGTGCCTCCATCATCGCCACCACAGCGGGTTCTACTGTTCTGCCGAGTGGACCAAGGATCGGCATGGCTAGGGGAAGTGTGCAATGCCACGGGGCTACCTGCAGCTCAGTCCCTCCTTCACTTGCTTAATAAGTGTGTGTGAGTGTAAGTGTGAGTGTGTGTGAGAGTGTGTGCGTGAGAGTGTGTGAGTGTGTGTGAGTAGGTGAGAGTGTGTGAGTGTATATGTGTGTGAGAATGTGTGTCTGTGTGTGTGTGAGTATGTGAGAGTGTGAGAGTGTGTGAGTGTGTGTGAAAGTGTGAGTGTGAGAATGTGTGAGAGTGTGAGTGACTGTGTGTGTGTGTGTGTGTGTGTGTGTGCACCTGCCATGGTGCATGTGAAGGTCAGAGGACAACTTTGTTGCTTCTCTGAGCTTGTCAGTGCCTTTACCTACTGAGTCCTCTCACTAGCCCTAAGAAATGTTCTCTAGTGTTGACTACAGCCCGCCCTATTCCAGAAGGGTTAGTTCTAGTGATGAAGATGAACCTCCGTCAACAGCAACGACGTTAGGTCTTCAGCATAGTACAGAAGGCTGGAGGACAGCGCTGGACAAAATACAAAGTGCCTGGAGTGACAAGGAGGGTGACTCTTGGAGGAGGGGCGACGGGGCAGAGAGCTGGATAAGTTAGGGGACTGAGAAGCACGTGAAGGACTCAGGGCACGGGCCTTCTTAGTGCCTATGAGGATCAACGAGCAGGCCCGTGCGCCTAGAGCAGCCAGCGCATGAGGCAAAGAACAACCGGAAACTGAGGCAGAGTGTGGCTGGCCCCACACCACAGGCCATGGCATTGAGACGCATGGGAGCTGAGTGGAGCACAGCGGGAGGGGTGGCTTGAGCTTGCTTCCAGCTGCTCTGAGACGGTCCTTCTGCAGTGGAGAGCTGCTAAGCGGGGTGGTGCCAGGATTCTCCAAACTTGTTGAAAAGGTCTGGGAAAGAGGGCTGGGACTCGTGACCTCGGGCAGCCAGGATGAAGGCGCAGCATCCCCGAGACACAAGTTACCCCCATTGTCCTGGATGGGCTTGAGGCCAAAGGCGATGTCTGTTTTGTGGACAGCATTGTGAGCCACCGGGAGCCAGGAGCCAGCCCTGTGAGGAGAAGCCTGGGCCAAGAAGTCAAATGGAGGCGAGAGAAGACCTGAGCAAGGACAGACAGCAGGACAGAGGGCACCTGGGCCTGTAGGTCTCTGCTCTCATTGGGCCCCTGGCCATGGACAGAACCCCAGTCACCTGACAGGGGTGCAGGGGGAGCCTTTCTTTCAAAGACGGGATCCTGGCTGGGACAGCAGCACAGGAGGGGTTAGCCCCGAGTGACCTGTGAGGTCACAATAATGAGCAGACGGCTCCAAAGCAACACAGAAACACCAAGAAGAAAGGATTCAGCTTTCCCCTGGTGGCTTCTATCTGGGTGTCACACAGGGAAGAAGCCCTACCTAGCAAACCAGGAAGCTAGAGGGCGGGGGAACTCAATCCTCCATTGCTGGGATGCCAGCCAAGATATGGGCCCTTCTGCCTGAGCTGGTTCTGCTCGGGAGGTCTCCAGCCGCTCCCCACTTCTCCACGACTCCCCACACTACACAGTTATCTGATGCCTGGACTGTACAAAGTCTTATTTCTCTGCTTCGGGGGCTCTCGACTGGGGTGCTCATTGAAATCACTTACGGGGCTTGTCAGCACAGCAGCAGCTGGGCCCCGATCCAGACCTGCTGGGTTTGGATTTGTCAGCATGCCCCCTGGAGATCCCCACGCCACCCCTTGTTAAGGAGCCGGCTAAGGCTTTGGGCCCTTTCCACTGCTGGCGCCTGCACAGGAGTTTCGGAGGTGTGTGTGGGAGGCAGGATGTCCTCACGGCCACCCTGGCTAGCCCTGCAGACACCGAGGGCCACTGTGATGAGGGGACGGGCGCTCAGGGTTTCGCAGCAATGAAAACGCACGCTCCATGAGGTCAGAGCCGCCTGACGTGGCCTTCGTTAGGCGCTTGGCAGAATCTGTGTAACGCTCTCCGCCTGTGGCTGCGCCTGCCCCTCACAGGTGTCATCTCATGACGTCTGCTCCTGTTCTAGATGGGACTCAGCCTTGAGGAGGGGCGTGGTCTCCTTGGGGGACGATGCTGATCAGCAGCGCTGGGCCTGAACCCATCTCTGTCTCTGGCTAGTCTCCAAGCTGGGGCTGTAAGCAATTCTGGGAATAAGGGAGCCACAGGAGGCTCGTGGAAGTTCGTTTAGACTCACTCCAAGTGGGTGAGGGCGGTGCCTTTTCCCATGAAAGGCTCAGATCTGCAGCAGGGCCAAAATGAAGGCTTTGTCTCTTCCCAGGTACCGGCTTGTGAAGACCACCCTTTACTAACTGAAGAGCAGCAGCCTGTGTGTGCTGAGCTCCCACTGGGCATGTGCAACTTCCCCTCTCAGGCCGCTCCTGAGAGCAACCTGTCCATCTCCTTGACCATACTAGAGGCACCCACACAGGCAACACCGACGATTCCAACCACGTTGTGAAGCTGAGAGGGACCCTCTGGGCTTCCGTAGAGCAGAGGCTGTGGGGTCTGACATAGTGGTCACCTGGTCAGGGCTCAGCACAGGAGGAGGCAGTGGGCTCTGTTGTTGTCTGCTCTTATGGAGATTGATGGTGCAGTGTGGCTCAGTCACCAGCGGTCAGCAAGTATCTGGCTGCCCAGTCAGGCCATTTCCTGTGTAATGGCTCACATTTACTGTCAACTGGACTCATCATACTCGGTGCCATTATCCATCCTGGTATTGGCTTTGTGGAGTCCCTTGGCTGCACAGGGCATGCCTGGACTGCAGCCGTGATGGAGAGGTCTGTGGACACATGCCTGGCAGTTCCTGGGATACCCCCATC